CAATTCTCCTTTGAGATAAAAGCCTTTATCTGTGGTATACCTTACACATCTCTGCTAATTGCAGGTGTATAGTATACTGACTACCAAAAGTGGAAAGAAAGTATTTTTAGATCATAAGACTATATGGTTATAAAATGACAAAAAAATTCAAGAGGGCTAAAGGCTGATGCCATATTGGAAGCAATTTGTTGTTCATTTTTCAAACTGGCAAGGACAGAGAAACATGACAAACATAGAATAAAAATGCTTGGAAGATAAGTAAATTTTATGCACAAAAGAAGTATTTAAAAAGTACAGTGAGAAACCGATAAAAGTCAAGTGAGACCAAATATCTATGCATGCATAGAAACACTGAGAAATCTAAGTGCGGTGATTTCCATCCTCTCAACACAGCTGAGCATGTACTAAATGAATAAACTGCTACTTGACATTTCCTAAATAAATATCATGGTAGAGTACTTACTTTACTTTAATGAATCATTTTGGCCCCTACCACAGGAAGTAGCTGTGATGAGCGATAATCTGTTTCGAGAAATATAATTCCAAAATGGAGATATATATGGACTGAAATATGAGAAGTTGTGGCCTTCAACAGGTCTCTGCTTTAAAAAAGGTTCTGATTCATCCATGCCCACTTCTACTTATATTTGATCATAGCTGTTGACATACTGTATCTGCTATGCAGAGAGATATTTCTCTACTAGAGTTAGGAAAGCCATATGGTTCGTGGATGACTATGAATTTTTGCAAGGCAAACTGAACTACTTTTTTTTTTTTTTTTCCCCTGTAGTTATTCAAACATAACTACCCATTTAGCAAACAGAATATTTTCAATTCAGCTGGGATATTCTGGACCATATAATACATTTCTACGTATGAACTGAAAATCTCTCTTCAATACAGTCATAATGGATGTGCTAACACTAACTTTCTGCATTAGTACTCATCTCGTTCTTTATGTATGGTTAAATAAATAAATTCACTGTAGTGATGAACCAAAGCAGCAAATAAGACTTGTCTTGTTCATGGAGTAGAACTGAAGCAGCTGATTTTGTTTGACTGACATAGTTTGAAAAGTCTGATACATCCCAACAGTACTGTAAGCAGTGAGAAGCAGACAGGCCAACCCAAAATGGGTGATAAGTAAACTTCTACTTTATTTGTGACACAGTTCACATATATATAGGAGTGGTATTCAGCCACTCCTCCTTGGCACAACAGTATCGGTTAGCCCCACACAGCTTCCTCCACATTCTCCTCCCATGTCCTGTTTCCGGTTACCTGTGGGGGCCACCCCCTGCCTTGCTCGCACAGTCCTCCAGGGCTCTATGGTCCTGCTCCTAGAGTCATTCTGCAACACAGTACACCTTAGAAAAAAACAGGGGTTTACTTTAACGTTCTTTTTATTACCAAAACTACTCATAGGATTAACATACCTATACAAGGAAATTGCTTTGACTACGTGTAACTGCAAATGGGAAAAAAAGTTCCTGCCAAAGGCAGGGGTAAATAACATTTTACTGCCTTTGTTAATGCACGCAAAACTATCCCAATAAATACTCCAATGTCCGTAATTTAGCCAAAGCTCTCAGTCAAGCTGAAATTTAGTCATTCATACTGCACTATATATATTTCCTATTAGAACATCTGCTGTCAGAAAAAAAAAACTGTTGTGACATGGTACCTTGGCCAGGACAGGTGATTTTCAAGAAAGCCTGCAGAGGCTACCCTCTGGGCGGGATGCTAGGCACAGTGGAACCTGAGTATCTAAGTTTTCCTCAGGATCAGGTATGAATTCCCTATTCGGGGATACATTTCTCCTATCACACCTACCAGCTCATATTAAACTAACTTGTTCCATATACTGGAATTTATCAGAACATAACTTTTAGTTAGCCATAATGTACCTTCTTGACATTTTTGTCTGAATTTGGTAACTTTTTCTTGTAACAGCTTGGCATAGCCAGCAATATCACCATTACTACTGGTGAGACTGCCCTACACAAATGTGAAATCCCAGTCCATTAAGTCATTAGGAATATTACAAGCAATCCTGCAAATCTTGGATTCAACTGTGTGGCTTTATGTGTTCCATTGACAAAACACTCAATACTTCTTTCAAAAGCAATCTGTGTTTGCTGGTTGTTAAATGCTTGTTTGAAGTATTTATGACTTCACTCCAAAAGTAACTTCAACTTGTACCAGAAATTTAAACTCATTTCAGAGGGACTGGGAATTCTGAAAAGTTAACAACGAGGTAAGCCCTACACCATTCCAGAGCAAAGCAGGTATATGTGCAACTAAATGCAAATAGCACTTTATAGTACTAAAATGAAAAGCTAAAAATAATCTAAAATAGAATCTATAAATTCATTTGACAGTCCTAGTTTTTACTTTGTGTATAACTGCACAATGGCGTAATAAATGCATTTAACTTAGGAATATTATGTCAGATCACACAGGATCTGACTACAGCACTCTGAATTAAATCTCCAATGCATAACACTGTAATTCATAAAAATATTAATCATCATCTGAGTCCATTTTAACCACATATCAGACATCTTGAAAGGCAGGAAAAATGCTAGGGAAGGGACACAGCCTTTCAAATATAAATGATAAAATCTGGTTAGCACTGTAAAAATAGCTACACGCAGTAAAATTAAAACTTGTAATTCTGAAAGAAAGTGCTTTGTGCAAACCATCCGGAAATTACTTAGAAGTATAATTGTTTTATTGCTGAAAGCACAGAAATATAAAACCACTACTCTTCCTATTTTACCTGTTTCCCAGATAAAATGCAAAGATGGAAATTAAGCTAATCACAGATGTGAAAGGCTGATGCCTCAACTGCATTTGCATTATAAAATAATATCATCCCCTGCTCTACCACGGAGTTGCTTTTCAAACACAAGCCCGTACAACCAGTATGCACCCCTCACATATCACAAGCTACGGTCCAAAGCATTCAGCAACTAAGACCCCACACGAGATTACTCAGTCACATGCACTCAGACCTGCACTTGGTCCCACTGAGGTGACCCTTCCTCCTAGCAGGAAGTCTGCTTGCAGCCACCTACTACCTAAATGACTACAGATACCCAGTGTTTCAAATTTTGCCAGTGCTCTGCTCGTGATGCTACTCCGAAGCACCCAGTAATACAAGACAAATCCCTCCGGTATCTAGAAGGGCACTTTTGTTTCTCAGCCTTGTTCTTGGGTTCACACCACCTGGAGTGACTGGAGCACTTGATCTCGTCCTGAAGTGCTTTAATTTGGAAGGGATTCAAATACCATCTGCTCCCAAGGCACATTAAGCTGGTGTGAGCCTGTGCCGTACTGAAACACATTCGGAAGCAAACTGCTGCAGATTAGAAACCCTTGGAAGTTTCAGGGAAGTTGGGGCCGAAGCAGTTGCAGATGCGTTACTGCCTCGCTCCATCGCACCGGCACCGCTATCGGAACTAGGGCACCGGCAGTGTCAGAATTAGGTTACGAAGGCGACAGAAAGAGGGGCCGTAGGAGAAAGTCCATACCGCATTCCCCGCTTCCCGGAGGACTCCCCCCGCTCCCCGACCTGCACTGCACAGAGCCGGGAGGGGGGGGGGGGCGTGCTCTCGCACCACCCCGAGGTGGCGGCCGCCGGGCGGTGCGCGGCTCCGCGCCGAGAGGAGAGCTGGACCGCGCAGCGCTCTTGCGGTGATGCCGGTTAATTCATTAATTTCTCCGGCAGACGGTGGTTCAAGGGGCGGGGGGGACTCAGCCAAGCTGGCTGTTGACACAGTTCTCCTCAAGGGGAAACCCACCCGCGACAGCCCAGGCGACCGCGCTCAGAGCGGGCCCTGCGCCAGCCTCCGCTCCCGCGGACTTCCCCAGCCGCGCCGCGCCCTGCACGTCCGCTGCATGGAAGATGCGTGGAGCCGGCGCGGGGTCCGCCCGCCTCCCTCCCTTCGAGGGGCGCAGGGCGGCCCTTTCGAAGTGCCCGTGTCCTCCGCGGCACGGGGCGGCTGCCAGGAAGGGAAAAGCGGTTATAAGTGCAGGCGGCGGCGCGGCCGCAGCACCGATTCCCCCGGCCCCTCCTCGCGGGGCAGCCCCGAGAATTATTCACTCCCCAAATTTAAATTGCCACCTGTACTCCGGCTCCGCGCGCAGCACCCCTTGCCCCGCCGCTCTCTCTGGCCAAACCGGCCGCACCGAAGATCGGTCTGTCCGTCCGTCCATCCCCGTTCCCCTACTCCGCACGCCGCGGACGGCGCAGCTCGCCCCGCCGCGAGACCGTCCCGCCCAGGCTGTGCTGAAGCAAGACCCCGCCACGGCGAGACCCCACCACGGCCGGCACCGCGCCGGGATGCCCCGGTGCTGGGAGAGGACACCACAACCGACGGCGCGGTCGGCGCGCCGTCCCCGCGCTGCCGAGGCACCGGTCCCCGACGGCGGCGGTCCCAGCGGCACCGGCAGCCCCGCTCCTGAGTTGAGGAGGTGGAGAGGGGCATCCCGCGAGCGGCGAGCCCTGACGGCGGCCCCCTCCCCTCTGCCCTCCTGTCCCTCGGCCTCTCGGTACCTTTTTCAGCGCTGACATTCTAGTGCATTATTAACGCGGCGGGCGCGGGCTGCGCCGGGGGCTGCCGGGTCAGGTGAAGAAGACGCCCGGCCGGCAGCGGGACCGGGACCGGCGGCGGGAGCAGCGCCGCACGCCCAGCATCACCCCGGCGCCACTCACCCCGCCGGGGCGCCGCCGCCGCCCGCCGGCCTCTGCGCAGCCGCGCTCCCCCTGCCGGAGCCCGCGGGCACCGCGCCGGCCACCGCGGGCGGGCGGGCGGGAGGGAGGGAGGGAGCGAGAGGCGGGGCCGCGCGGTCCCAGCCGACTCCACGGGCACACCCCTGCCGCCCATTCCGCCAATGGCGCGCCGCCGGCGCCGGTGACGGACAGGCACGGCTGCGAGCAGGAAGGAGCGCGAGCTCGGGGCGGTCGCCTGGAGGGGCCCGGTCGGGCCGCTAGCAGGGGCCATGTCCCTGAGCAGGAGGGAAGGTGAGACCTGGCGGGGCCGGTGTTCTGCGCCGGGCGCGGTGGGAGCCTGCAGGGCGGCGGTTAGCGGCAGCGCCCGCACCGTGGTACTTCCCCGCGGGTGGGGAGCGCGGCGGAGGGGGTCTGGAACCACCTCCCCGCGGGAGGGACCCTGAGGTGAAGCTGGGGAAGGGGCGGGAGAGGCGACAGGGGCGCGGCCTCAGTGTCTGAGCCCTCCTAGCAGCTGCTGTCCGGTACCCCCGGCCTCGCAGGGCCCCGGGCTCTTGCTGTGCTGCCTGTTGCTGCCTGGGCGTGGGGAGGGAGTGTAAATAATTGCTTCTCTTAATTGCAGAGTGCCTTAAGATGAGCGCCTCTTCTCAGGTGTGCGTGTGTACTCGTTGTTAATGACCGCGGAGCTTGGCTTGTAGAAAGCGAGTTAGCACATTTCCGAAATAACTATGGTACCGTGCTTGCAAAGAAAAGAAAAGCCTTCCTCTGTCCACGCATAACGTCTGTTTGGTTTGCCTTTGTAAGACATGGCTTTATAAGAATGCAATAATGAAAATACAGGTGTTCTTTAAGTGAAATCTTCTCCTTAAGGGGCGTTGAGTAGGGCTGAGCTGTAAGAGTTGAATGTTTGCCTACTGTAGTGACTGTGGCTTCTGAGTTTCCAAACGATTCCAGCGTCCTGAAACTCGGTTCCTTCGTGTGAGAACAACATGAGGGTGAGACTTAACAGCAAGGGTTAAAGTTGAAGCTGCTTGCTCTGGCTGACTGCAACTAGTGATAATTTTGAAGGAACTATAAAAACAGACTAGTGTTATCTGTGTTTTAGATGCAGCTGCACTATAAGAGGTTGACAAGATGGAACAGCTGCTTTCCTTCTAGTTTTACTTCCTTTGAGGAAAACCAGAGGATTTCAGGTTGATGTCTTGTAGGAGAAGGGGAGTTGAGTGAGTTCATTCATTTGGAAATAAATGGTGACTCTAGAACTGAGAAGGGGGGAAACAAATTCCAAAGCACTCTAACTGTTCAAAACCCATCAGCAAATAAAGAGCTACTTGTTTCAGTAGGGTAGAAGAGAAAGTTAAAATTATCATGTTGAGTGACTGTGTTTACTGTCTAGAGTTAGGAAACACTCATATTTTCTTCAGCCACTCTAAGAAGTGATGACTTAAGATTGGGAAGAAAACACAGCAAGGAATAGAATGACGTGATGCCATGTGGTCACCAGGGATGCAGTAAGAAAACTGGAAGAGTTTACAACCTCATCTGGTCAGCCTCTGTAGCAAATAGCAAATAGGAAATTGTTGACTTTATGTTGTGTGAAACTATATACATTTTCAAAAAGACAGGTGTCTGCAAAAAAAGCTGAAAAAGAAGGTTTAGATGCTTCTCTTGAAGGTTGATTTTGCTGCTGTCTATAGGAGTACGTCAAAGATGCTGAAGATAAACTTTTGTCTGCATTACAAGTGATCACTGACACTTTTTTTTATTTTGTACTCAGCTGGACTATAATACAGAGTAAAGGGATGATCAACAGCTTGTAGGTCTTGGGTCTAGAGAGAAACTAAATAGCAGAAAGACAGTCAGCAGTGCAGGTAAGTGAAATGCACTTTGTAAGGAAAGAGTTGGGCAGGTGCATTCTGAGAGTGCAGAGGTTTTTGAGTTTTGTTGGGCTTTTTAGTTGCTCATGTACCACTGATTGATAACAGGGCTAGGGTTACTAGCAGTTGTCATTATATGCATTACTGACAGGATGTTTATCCTCTCCAGAACAGCTGAATTCAGAATTTATAGCTGCTAAAACATCATCAGTTGCATTTTTAAGGCTGTAGTACTCATGCTTGAAAGTTTGTAGAGCCCTAAGGTAATGCTGTCGTAAAGGATTGCAGAATGGCACTCCAGCTGCTGAAAGGTAGAGTTAAGATACTGGTATGGGTGTAGGACACATTATTGACCATAACCGTTAGTAAGAAGTGATACAAAAGTCAGCATGCTGTATGAAGGGTGATCTAGTGGTACTACAGGGACTTCCTATTTGAGAGATTAAACTGGAAATTAAATACAGTTAATTCATAGTCATGGGTAACAACAGTAGCAGGAGTTTAAACAGTGAGAATATTGCATAGAGGAGTGCTGTTTTCATCTGTTTGGGGCAGGAAGCTTATACCTGTAATAAGGATTGAAATGAGATGTCAATCCCTTAGTTTTAGGGTTTTGTTGCTTTGTTGGTTTGGCTTTTTCAATGGCCATATCTAATACTAAACAGCTTCATTTTTGCAAAAAAACCACAAGAACCTTGAATTTTTTTTTTTTTTTTTTTTTTTGAGGGAGGGAATTAAACTCAATTTTTGGAAAATACTTTGAGGCTTTTTTCTGGAAAGAAAATTTAAAAAAAAAAGGTTAAAACCCAGGGTTTTTAGGGTGGATGTTTTTTCTTTCATGCATATATGTTTATCAGTAAGGGAAATACTGATTAGAAATGGAATTTGATGCCTAACATTATTTTCTTTTGCTCTGGGAGAGGAATCTCACCCCTCACCCCTCAAACAATTAACAGTGTATGTTGCTCTCAGCAGTGATTTATTTCAGCTTAAAGACATAAATTGTATTTGGATTGTAGTTGAATAAATCACAGATGTCTTGTTTGTGATTAAATGTAGAGGTTGCACTAGACCAAGTGTAATTGACTCTGCCATTAAAACCTTTGGGAAAGTGTGGGGGAACATTAGGCCTTTTTTTGTTGCTCAATTCAACATTGTGTCTGGATGAGAAACCTAACCAAGAAGAAAGTCCAATGGTAATGAAAGGAGAGGAAGAAATAATAGATACAATGTATTTATAAAGTCTGAGGGTAACTCATGTTTACACATAGCTGAGTATGTGGAGCCTGATACCATGTGGCCTTTGGGGTTCTGTGTTTTGGGTGGATGGGGGTTGTTTTTGTTTTGTTTTGTTTGTTGGTTTGGTTGGTTTTTTTTTCTTGAGGGGGGAGGGAGTTGGGGTTTTTAGTTGTTTTCTTTTTAGAAATTACGCTTTGGAGCCATTCTTACCTGCTTTCCAGGGAGGCGGGATGGTCCACAAGAGATAGATAGGACTCTGCTTAAACATACTAGGATGTTTTGAGTAACGAGTGTACGTACTTGTGTTATTTATTGAAGGTTGTAGGTGGGGAAGGATCTGCCATTTTGGTGTGCTGGTTTGGAATTATTTTAAATTTTTAAACAATCAGTGTGCAGTGCCTTTCAGTCAACACTAGTTTTGAATTTATCAGTAGATTGCTGGAATTTATGGTATACCTCAGAGCAATCAATCTAAAGTTAAGATTGTCTCCTTGTTTTACTCTATCTGGCAACTAAACCCCACACAGCTGCTCTCCCCAGTGGGCTGGGGGAGAGAATAGGGAGGGCAGAATTGAGACAACTTGTGGGTTGAGATGAAGATGGTTTAGTGGGTAAAGTAAAAACCACACACACAAGCAAAGCAGAACAAGAAATTCACTCATTGCTTCCCATTGTCAGGCACATGTTCAGCCATCTCCAGAAAAGCAGGGCTCCATCACACGTAAGAGTTACTTGGGAAGACAAGTAACTCTGGATGCCCCTCTCTTCCTTATTCCTCCTGTCTTTATATGCTGAGCATGATGTCATATGGTATGGAATATCCCTTGAGTCAGTTTGGGTCAGCTGTCATGGCTGTGTCCTCTCCCATCTTATTGAGCAGCCCCAGCCTACTCCCTGGCGGGGTTGAGTGAGGAATAGGAAAGGCCTTGGCAATGTTCAGGCTCTGCTCAGGAGTAATTAAAATATCCCTGTACTGTCAGTACTGTTTCCAGCACAAATCCAAAATCCCATATTTTCAGCACAACTCCCATACTAGCTACAATGAAACAAAATAACTCAACCCCAGCTGAGGCCAGTGCAGCTTGTGATTTCTGGTAGGCATGTGTGGTATCTTGTGTTTTCATTTGACTTTAGTTCAAAAGATTGAAAACTATTCTCTAGGAAGTTTGCGTTGCTATTGAGGGTTGCCTAATAGCTTACATTAAAATTTCCTTTATGACTAGAACGAGAAAAAAAAGTTCTCTCTCATTGAAATATACAGTCCTTTTTAATGATGGAAATTGGGTATAATACTGATTTGTATTGTGCATATATGTGGAGTTGCTTACAAAAATTGCTAGATATTATGTTACAATCAAATATTCAAAGGATGATACATTTACTCCCTGAAGAAGGCTATGTAGACATTCAATTGTATTTATATTTTATATAATATGAACTTACGATGATTCCTTTTAAATTAAACTTAAATGACACACAGTCTTGTTGAACTTCTGCGTGTGCTCAGCGATATTACCCCTGCCAGCTTCATGGTTTGTTTTGTAAATTCTGGTATATTGAGTTTATATTTTAGTGTATTTTAGTTTCATAAGAGCAGAGGGACCAAGCTGTCTCTTTAAAGTTTCCAGATTTTTTTTCTCTTCAGTAATCTGAACTCCAAATTACTTTTTTAAAACTGTTTTCAACTATTCTTATGGCAGTGCTTTAGGCCATTATAGTACTATCTGTCTCTTCCATATTAACCCCAGCATCTGCCATAACATTTAACTTTACTACCCATGTATGTGGTGTAGTTTGATGTTCACTTCAAGCTGTATGCTGTTTGCATCTGGATAAAAGTTCTTTAGGTTGCAGTAAGATTTCAACTTTCTGAAATATAGAAAGATTCCAACAGTGCTGGCAGGCAGCTGGCCTTGGTGCCCAGTGATGTTGTAAGTGCACAGCTGCACCCTCCCTGCTTCTTCTTTCCCCCCCAAATCTGTCTCAGAAGAGAGAGGAAAAAGAAGTTGCTTACAGTCATGGTTTAGAGCTGGCCCAACATCGTGTAGCCAGAATTATTATTAATAATTATTAATAGTAATATTCAGCAAAGTTGAGCTTCTCTATTAAGGGTGGGTTAGATATCTTTAGATATTTTGAGAGAAGTCTGTTTAATTACACTGGGTAAGATCAGGCTGA